TTCGAGCCATTTCTCGACCACGGCTGGACCTGAAAATGGTAAAATCCTAATCTACTCTTACTGGTCTTCATTTTGGTGGGAAAATAGCATGCTAGGGTGGAGAATCGGAGTTAAACGAAAATGTGGAAGTTTTGGTTTGCTCCTTTGCCAATCTGGCCTGAAAACCAGATCGTTCCGACCCAAACCCGGAAACCCAATTATAACCCAGGCCTTTCGGCTATGCAAACCCAGGCATTCGCCTCACTAAACCCAGCCCAAGTCTAATAGCCCTAAAGCCCAAACCCCAGGGCCTTTGGCCCTATTTAAACCCAAACCCAAACTTAGGCCCAAGCCCAACCTTGCAGCCCATACCCATTGAACCCTTGGCCCAAAACAAACACACCCCAACCTAGGAAGGTCGAAGCATGCTAGCTATCATCGTAAGGTGACGTAACCATAATGGTAAGTGAGGTGAAAAAGTGGATAAATTTAAAACTAATTAGAACTAATTATACTAAATAGTGAAAGAGTGCGCAATCGTAGGAATAGCCCACTACAATTATTCAGAGCATAACAGACAGTACGTCTATCGTAGAGTAGTCAAAGTAGCTAAGTACACTTATTACACAACAGTGGATAAGTTCATACTTCTAAACCAAAGAGAATGTCAAAACTGCTGAGATTCCTCGAATGCCACAAAGAGTACAACTATCTAGGTCATGAAGGGGCGAAAAACAAAGTTGAGTGGGTCGGCAAAATAATGCTTATACGAAAACCTTTATTTTCAAATATAGTAACCCCTTAACGTAAAACAAGTGTAGTTTCCTTAAAACATACTACGTGGGTATGTAAACAGCAATAACAACAATATAACCAGAAATATGCCAAGTCATGATATTTCAATGCCACAGTAATAAAATCATGTGATAATTAAGTATAACTAAGTGCTCATCCATCTAAGCTGACACACGAGTTCGAGCAGAAAATCTCTGACACAAACAGGATTGGGTGTAATCAATACACTCTAGTACTATAATCACATGAAGGCTGGTGCAAAAGCACGGTCACATACAAGTTGGATTGCCTAATGCAATCTGCTCGACAAGATTGACACCTAACTTGGATATAAGGTGAGCAAACGATGCAATGTGAACATACACGTGAATGACTGTCCCTGGCCTTAGGGCGAGTACTAACACTGGTGCAACAAGATGAGCATGTACAAATATGTATGAATATCATGACAGTAATATCCCAAACATATAGCAGCAGTTATCACATTTAATATCACAATAACGAATACTTGGCAATATAAGCGTAAAAGTGGAGTAACTACGCATTTAGGGAAACTACAAATACGTATAGGTATAAAATAAACTGCCCACTCACAAGTACGTTGTAAGGTCGTAGCCTCCGAGCTTAGCCTGGCCCCGTAAGTCCCTGGGATATGTTTCCCCTATATGTGAAATAACTATAATAGAATTAATTAAAACACATATACGAAAACTTAAATAAAACCCCCATAGTTTGCTCAAACCTAGGGTTTAAATACATGAAATTGATCTACTCGACATCACAAACCTACACAAATTTTCAGATAAATTTTTGGACCCCGCACGCGCCCTCACGCGCTGACCAAGGCACGGCCAGACGTGCCCCTACGTGCAGGCACGTGTCGTTAGTGTGACTGATGTCGTTAGGAATATTCCGTTAAAACCTTAACAGAAATTAACGGCGTTACTTGACATCGTTAGAATATTCTGTCAACTTTGACATAATATTCCCTGTTTTCTCTGGCGAGCTCTGTCATTCACCGTCGTCCTCCGCCGCCGTCTGCAACTCGAATCTCGCTGATTTTTGGAAAAAGCGTTATACCTTTTTGGATCCAAAAAGTGGACGGAGGTGGTTGGAAATCACCTCGAAAGTTGCGGCCAAAAGTAAACTCCTCGAAACTCGGTTGTTTTGACATTGAAGCTTCTTCAAAATTGTCCTAGAGGTCTCGGAAAGTTATGGGAAAGCTTCCTCGATCTTCAAAACTCCTTAACTCGGTTGAAATTTGATGAACTCAAACTCACTGAGTTCGGACCTTCCGAGTTTGACGTCCAAAACTCAGTCAAACTAAGGTTGGTTGATATGGTTGAGTTCGTGAAGATGAGAAGAACGTAATGGTGAGGTTTTTAAGCTGGATATACGAGCTTTGGTGCTCGTTCATGGCAGTTACAAAGAAAGAGAGCTTCAGGAGGAAGAGAAAAAAGGAAGAGAGAGAGCTTTTTCTTTGCTTATCTAATTGGGTGCCATGATGAGGGAATGGATGGGATTGGTAAGAGATTTGAGTGAGTTGATTGGTGAGGGAGTGAAATAATAGGGAGTGCACGGGTTGGCTTTAAAGAAAGCCAAGGATTGGGTTTAGATTTTGTACAGAAAAGATAATCGAAAATCTATCCGAAATAGTGTTTTCACACTGATAAAAATTCTCGTACTCTCGCAACAACATGTACAATTTAAAAGCGATAGCGAGGAATAAAATAAAAGCGATATAAACACGTCTACGTCATTTGCCTACAAGTGCATAATAAAGAATTTACATAGTCGGGAATAAATTACATAGAAAATTAAGGACAGGTCGTTATGAGAGCCATTGGCCCAACCCATGCGGAACCAACCCAAATCGCAGGCTGCACATGGGTCCATGCTTAGGAGTATGCCTTGGCCGGCACATGGAGCACATGCGCCTCCACTAGAGGTATTGTGTTTGCGGTCGTCCATGGCGGTGTCGGTGACTTTTTTGGTGATCCAAAATGGATCGTGGCGGCGTGTGCGGCTACTCGTGGCCATTGGGGCCGCCACCCCGTTGCGATGCATAAGGGCGCGTGTGGTGGCCGAGGTCCCCCTTATGTTTTTGGACGTCCTGAATCCATTTATGACGTCCGTTTCCCGAAATTTAATCGTTGCGGTATAGTTTTATTAATTGAACCCTTTATGTGTTTAGGTGCATTTATTGTGGCATTTCCGTCTTCGCTAGTTTGCATGGCTCTTCGACGACGAAGTATTTATGAATGGACCTCTTCTAAAATGCATGATTTTACTTTTAGAAATGCATACATGAGAAGCATGATTTAATGGTTACATTTTATGAAACGTTTATGAATAAATTGGTTTCACGCTTTATGAATTATCATACTTTATCGACTTTACGTTCTTCGTAGTGTATATGATTGATGACTATATACTATGAACATGATTTAAGATATGATGTTTGAGCTACAAAGCTCCGTTGAGATATATATACTTATATTTTGGAAAGATTATGTTCAATGATTTTTGTGCTTATCTAGTGGACACTATATGCCTACGGACAAATGATACTTTTATATATGCCTTTGGGTGGGTGTTGTATGAGCCTATGGGCAATTGATACTTACATATGCCTTTGGGTGGGTGTTATTGAAGCCTGCGGGCGAATGAAGTGTTCTAAATGAAGAGTTCTATATGCCTTTGGGCAATACTGATACCATTATTTAGCACACTATGTATGATATATGTTTTACAAAGGTTTTATGACATTCTGGGGTTTTGGAAAACCTATTACATATTATATTATTGAGTTTTTATAAATTTTGGTGGCTAGTACGTTAATGAATAACTATTTTAGTATTACTTATGTATCAATTTGGTCCACTCATGTTTTGTTTTGCGCCCTTCAGGACTTAGAATCGAGGCGTACAATCCCGGTGTCAGGGCACTCCCGCATTGGCATCTTCGAGTCCTCTCGATGTAAGACCCATCCTTTTGTTCATTCAATTTTATATTATTTCCTTTCTAGTGTCTCGGATTAGTTGTATGCTCTGAATATGTTCCACAATTGCATAATCATTGTAGGTAAACTTATAACTTTTATTTATATTCATATTTCTTCATTCTACTCATGCATGTTAGTATGGCTTCGTCATCTTCGGGTGTCGGCCAGCACATGCCTACCCTGTTGTTTGGAGGATATCAGGGGCGGGCGTGTCATTCTCACTACACCTAACATGTGTGGACATTTTTAAAATCTTAATTGACTACTCTTGAATTTGGAAGTATTTTTAAAATTCTTTAAAATCCTATTTTGACTACACCATGATTTCAAAGTCTTATAAAATCCTCATTTAAAATCTTAATTGACTACACCTTGATTTTAAAGTTTATTAAAATCCTATGGAATCATTGTTTGACTACATCCCACCTTGATTTTAAAGTCTATTAAAATTCTATGGAATCATAATTTGACTACACTCCCTAAATTGTTGTTCTCGAAGGAGGCAGAGGGGAAGAAGAGATTAGTGGGGCCCATAACCCATTATGTTTTATTTTTAATTCTTTAAGCGGTGGATTAGTGATGTAATGTGTACAAGTGTCAAGTCATGGTTGGTGAATTCCAAGTTAAAAATTTCTCTTCATTGTGAGGTTAAGACCTTACACTTATAAATAAAAACGAATACCACTAGATTGTAGTACTAAGAATGTAGTTAATCAAATAAACCACGGGACATAGATCTTCTTCATAACTCATTGAATTCGATAATCACTCTATTAATTCATTCGGCTTGTCTACTTCACATAAACAGAGGTCTTGTTATGTCCTCTCTATTCAACGACGAGATTTCTTAATCATTACATTCCGAAAGATGAGGTACAGAGAGAATCCAAATTCGTAGAAAGCAGGTGGAAGGTATTAATAACTCTCTCTTTCCAATCCAATTATTCCTTCCATCAAATTTTGGTTAATGTGTTTTAGCAGTGAAAATTAGCCGGACGAGTATTCACAAACAATGTGTTTCACCATAACCTTCATAGAACTCACTCTCAATGGCGCCTTCAGAGAAAATAACTCGGTCCACCACTAAAAGGTCGCCACGTTTCAGTACATGGTCATCCAGAACACATTGGATTCCCCTTGCCCGTACCTTTGTTTCCGCGTTCGATAGCGGAACGTACCTAACAAGGCGCGAAACGCTCACACTTTCTCTCTCCTCTTCTTATTGGACGTCCCACTCCACTTTGCTACTCCCTCTCTCTCTCTCTCCAACTCTCGTCCTTTTCTCCAACAGTCTCCAATCCATCTCTCTCTAAATCTCTCTCTCTCTCCGCATACAATTCAAGACGGAATTTCAGAATTCACAACTTGCTTTGAAAGGTTTTGATCAAGTTTTTTCGATGACTTCGATTTCTGGCCGTGTTTTTTGATTTTCATAGGAAAGATTCGATTGTCTTTCTCTCTGTCTCCGTCGTTTAAAGTTGTTTGGTCCCATCTGTTTTTCGAGGGATCGTTGTCGTCGTCATCAGTTGTGGATTTCTGACATGGCCTCTTCCGCTTCCGGAGAAGCCCTCAAAACCTCCGTCTCCAACAAACTCAAGCAGAAAGAGGTACTTTTTTTTGTAATTTAATTTGATTTAATTTAACCAATTCGACTTTTGGGTTTTATTTTCCTGGGTTGCTGTTAAATTTTGTGATGGGGTTTTGCGATTTTGGGTCGTTTGTGATGAATTTTTTGACTCGCTGGTTTGATTGATTGCCTTGCAATTGTGGGTTTAATTCTTGAATTTACTTGGAGGCCCTGCAATTTTTTTGTAAGTTTTCTGGGTAATCTGGTGCTTTACTTCTTGGTTATTAACTATTTGATATGTTTTTTTTTTACAGTTTACTCTTCTGCACTAGTGGTTTATCTGTTTCTTTACCGAGTGTTTTGATCACTCAGTAAAAAGCTTAGTCTCAGCAAAAGCTGATTGCTTCAGTTTAAGTGTCTTCTTTTTTGTTGGCATTGAACTTTCAAGAGCTTTCGCAATGTAAATAAATCCACTTGTGTTCGTCACCACCCGTTTAGTTCCATGCGGAAATGTGCATCGAACTTGTTATGATCACTGTTATTGTTATTGTCACAATTACCATCTGCAAAGTTGTAAGCTTTCAGTATGTTGTTGCGTACTTGCTGTTAATTAAAAGTACTGGTGTTGGTTTGACCTTTTATCGTTACCCTGGCCACTCATATTATTGCAATATACTGCATTGTTTTCTATTTTAAGATCACCAAGTTAACATATGCAGCGGAAGTTGCAAAGAAAAATAAATTCTTATATGTATGTTAATATTTTAGTTGCAGTAGTTATCGAACAATTTCAGCTTACTCGAAGTAATTATTTCTCTCCTAGGGAGCTTGTTTTTCAACAAAGATCAATTAAGAATTTTTTATGATGGCATTGAAATTGACTTGGTTGGTAACTGGAAACAGTTAAGTTTTGAAGAATGAGATGGAAGAATAAGTTAAGCTGTATTATCTGTAGTAATTTTACAGTAGATGATTATTAGTTCCCTTTTCTTATGTCTTATGTACCATTGCATGATTGTAAATTTGTACTACTTTCTGTAGGGTACTTTGGACAGTGATGCTGGGAACTCACCTAGTGTAGTTGGATCAGAAGATGACGTTGATCTCCTAAAGAGTTCAACATCAGGATCAACCAATTCAAATGTTGTCAAAACTTCCAATTGTTTTTCATCTAATGATGATGATATGAGCATGGACGATGAAGACGACAACGACGACGACGATGATAATGACTATGATTTTGATGACAACGATGGTTTTCTGTATGATGTTGGTGATGATTTGCAATCTCAGTTTGATAATGTGGACTTGCCTCCTGGTGTAGAAGCAACTCTTCCCTGGTTGAATGATCCTTCACCGAGTGAGAAACCATCCACTAAGACGCTAGCTATTTCAGATCTACCACCATGTAGTTCAACTGTTCATTGTGAAGCAAGTTCAACTGTTCCTTCTGAGGCAAGTTCTAGTAAGGAACCGGCAGACAGCAATGACGACAGTATCATGCAAACGTCTCAACAGTTTAAGCAATTTGATATGGTGGAAGATTTCTCGGATCACCACTTTAGCCGCGTGGGATATTCAGATGGGCAGGTGAGTTAGTTGAACTTGTGCTTCACACCTGTCCCCTCCCGAACATTTGTGTGTGAGCATGTGCGTGTCCACATCTCTCTAGTCTTTATAGATGTTCCCTGGTCTGGCTGTGTGACACAGGCTTGAGTGCACACATAAACTCTGCATGTGCAAATTGTGGAAGTGTGTATGTCTGTTTTTGTGAATGTGGACTAATCTGTGTTTGTTTCTTGATAGCCACCCAAGGCTTGGGCTAAGCAAATTCAGGACGAGTGGAAGATTTTGGAGGACTTACCGGGTGAGTTCTACCTCTGTGTACTAGCGATTCACCATGCTTGATTATACCAGTGTTGGAATATTCTTGTGTTTTTAGGTTCTCTGTAGTGCTACCGTTGTTTTCCCCATTAGAAACTTCACCTATTTTTCAAAATAAGTTCCTTTCCTTTCTGGTCATGTCATGGCATTAGTTTAGTAGGTTGGCTCACATCTTCTCTCATTTCAATTTTTCTTGCGCAGACACTATATTTGTCAGGGTTTATGAAGCTAGAATGGAACTTCTGAGGGCAGTAATTATAGGACCTCCGGGCACTCCCTACCATGATGGTCTTTTTGTCTTTGATTGTCTCTTCCCCACTGACTATCCTAAATCACCACCGGTGCGTATTTGGTGCTATTGCATTGGTGTTTTATTTTATATTTTGTCTATTGTAGATAATTTTGATTTTCTTCTGTCAGATGGTATACTACTATTCAGGTGGTCTTCGATTGAATCCAAATTTGTACGAGTGTGGGAAAGTTTGCCTCAGTCTCTTAGGCACCTGGAGTGGCAAACAAAATGAAAATTGGGTCCCAGGGCAATCAACAATGCTACAAGTTTTAGTCTCTATACAAGCTCTTATTTTGAATGCAGAGCCCTTCTTCAATGAGCCTGGTCATGAGAGAACGTATGTTGGAGCAGAAGGGCGAAGGCATTCCCAAAAGTACAATGAGGATACCTTTATTCTATCTCTAAAGACAATGATGTATACACTAAGGAGGCCGCCTAAGGTATGATTTCAGCAACTTATCTCCTTTACAGTACACTGATCTTCTATTTGTATTAACATTTTCCGTTGTTTCTCGATGGAGGGTTGATTTACTAGAATGAAGTAGATTGTCTTGGTTGAACTTTGACTTGCTACCAGAACAGTAGGGAATTTTCTTTCTCACATTTGTGCTTTGTGGGGTTGAAACAAGTAGCCTTGCTGTATAAACACCAGTTCTGAGTCGAGTATTATTGTAGAGTTTAGTTGTGTTAGGATGGTTTTCTCTGCTTGCTGTTGCTGTTAGAAAACTATGCTGTTACCTAAACCCCCAAGTTACTATGATGTTACCTAACCCCACAAGTTCCAGAATGAATCATAGCAGCTTAGATGAAAAAAGTGAATCGGGAAGTCAGTTTGTATGCTATCTTTTGTTTTGAGAGGCACTTTCTGTTTCGTATCTTATGTTTGTAGGTCCGTCACCTAACCAAGTGAGTTTTCTTGCAGTATTTTGAGGATTTTGTCTTCGGCCATTTTCGCGATCGTGCACACAATATTCTGGCAGCATGTAAAGCATATACTGAGGGCATTTTGGTAGGGTCTGATATCACATCCCAGAATGCAGAAAAAAGTGGCTCCTTACAATTCCGGGCAACTGTAGGTAAGATGATGAATACACTCGTTACACATTTCACCAGAAATGGATCAACCGACTGTGACAAGTTTCGAGTTGAAGCCTGAATCACATTTGACTAGCAGCTGACTTGATGTGATTGGGAAGGTAATAAGATTTAAGATAAATTAGCGAGGTGAAACAAAATCATTGGACCTGCGTATGGTATTTTTCGTTTCCATCTGCTTTCCAATACTGGTATTTTGGAATTGGTTAGTTCATTTTTCTGTCTGTTGTATCGTTCGGGATTCTGGGTAGTACATGTACGTATAGTAGGATGGCGTGGTGGATGATGAAATTCATGTTGAACTGCGACTTGGCTTATTGCTATGTTGATCTAATTGTGACCTTGTTTAGATGCTTATAGCCAAAACAATTTATGTCAATTTCCCACGTCGTTGCGTGATGAGTTATACTTTTTGATTCCTGTTATACACAATCATGCGTGTATCTCTCATAACGTAAATAACAACTTCAATTCAATGAAGTGTACTGGTAAAAATATATTATAAAATTGAAACTCGTCATTCAGACAATTACCCTAACTGAAAAATCAGGACATTAGTTTACCCGAACCGAAAAAATGATGGTCTAGGATCCAAGCCCATGAAAAAAATTTCTAGCGATGAACGGCTGTGATTTAACCCCTTAAAATACCGTCTCATTTTTTTGCTTTTGTTAATTACATTACGCGCGGTACTGCAAGCGGCATTCTCTAGTACATATATCATCCAAAACCCAGTGCATTTGCACTATTAGTATCTTTCCTTGACTTCCAAGTTTTCTGAAACAAAACCTAGCAGCTACTTTCCATTTATTTTGCCCCGTCTTGTTTTCATTACAACCTGAACCTACAACCTGCACATCCGCGCTGTTCTTTCGAGCCTCGAGACGATTGAATCTTCAACATACAGGCTTCATTATCATGGAGACTGCTAGCAGCCTGGGATTACCAGTCGGATGCCACTTCGAACCATCCGACAAAGAGCTTTTGCTTCACTTTCTTAACAACAAGGTGCATGGTCTACTGCTTTCTTGCAACGCCGTGATTGAGTGCGATCTTTATGGAAATGAAGAAACATGGAGGCAGTTGTTCGATCAAACTAGTGAAAGATGTCTCTACTTTTTCACCGTGTTAAAGAAGAAGACGGAGAAGGGTTCACGGGTAGAGAGGACCTCATCTGGAGGATGCGTTATATGGAAAGCCAGAACGATAAGCCTGTCAAGGCTAAACTTGATCCTCGTGAATCGACTGAGACTCGTATCGGGTTTAAGCGAATGTTTTCCTATGTTCCGAAAGAGGGTTCGACGTCTAAGGCAAAAGGAGATTGGGTCATGTATAAGTTTCGACTTGATGATAGCTTTCTGAACAAGAATAACAAAGTAAGTAATACTAATACATGCTTAATTAATCTTCAGTACTTGAATAATCGTTTTAATTCTTCTTCTTCCAGTATAATTTTTGGAGATTGTCTTTGTTTGTTCATTGTTAATTTCCCAAACTTGTTTGTTCATGCATGTTCGTCATTGAGTGGTTTGGTTTGCTGCAGATATCTTTCATAAATTTGGTTCCATCTTTCGTCAGTTTCTGTTTAAACAGGGTTTATTTATTTTTAATACTACTTATGAATACTTTACGTAACTTTTTCTTGTTTGATTAGGATTTTCATGAATCGGAATCACCGTTTACTAACGATGTTGTTCTTTGTCTGAATTAATACATATATAGATTATGAATCTAAATATCCTTGCATTCAAAGCCAAAAAATAATTTACGATTTGAATTTTTCATATCTATCATCTTGACGAATCGAGTTATCTTTCAAAATTTAAAGTTTCTCGGTTGAATAGTGATTAACTTTTAATTGAATTTTCTCCATAACCAGTTGATTAAGAACTATTTCAAACATTCTTTGTGTGGTAAAGGGAGGGATTAATTATGGGGGATTGATTCAAATGATTTATTATATGTTGATTAAAGTTAAAAAGCAGCTCCCTTACCTTGTACGTGCGTTTCATGTTTGCAGGCAAACGATCTTCTTTGTTGTGTAATAAATAAACAAAAGTTACAACCATGGAGCCAGCCAAGACTGATTAGAGGGAATGTCAACCAGGAGATACGGTCCAGTATTGTCAGTGAACCATACCATAAGGAGCAGAATGATCATGATGATGAGGTGGATGTTGGCAGTGAAATCTTAAAGCTTTTAGATCAAGACTGGAGCACTACATGAGCAGCAGAATTATGGAAAAAGAATTTCAAGGGACTGAAGCTGAAGAATTACATATCACTTTCGTTAATTGTTTTTCAGTGGGTATTGGCCTAGTCCCCTCACCTGTTTTACTTTTTCTTTTTCTTTTACTTTGTATTATTAATAAAAACTAGTAGAGAGGAGACGGGCAGAGGGTTTCTGGGTGCAACGGTCCTTTCTTCTTTGGAAGAGGGTTGGTGCATCGCACACGACTATTGACAAAAAACTAATCTCGCCTAATCCTTTTCTAAAATTTTTTACCAAACTGAGATCATTACAATTGAACTATTATTTACTTTGTTGTCACTACTATTAGAAAATACCATTTTACTGACAAATTCTAAGGTGACAAAGCAACCAAGCCACTGTCTATGAGTTGCTGGCTCATTCTTCAACAGGCACGCGGTCAAAGCCCTAGGCTCCTCCCACTGCTTGGGAGCTTACTGTTTCATGTTCTATTTCGGTCCTATTTCCTAATGGGGGGTTCTTTTCACCCTTCCCTCATAGTACTACTTCACTATCTATCACCAAGAGTATATAGCCTTACAAGGTGGTCCTTGCTAATTCACATGGGATTCCATGTGTCCCGAGTAGTTTCATTTCTATCACCACTACAACAAACTATCATATTCATTCTTCAAAATATATTTTTCTGTGCGTGGAACCCAACTCGTTTTTTGAGCATTGTGAGCGGAGCCCACCTTGTTCTGCGTGTCATGGTTCGCCTAGTTTTGCATGCGTCAAGCTTGCCTAACACCCTAGTTTTTTTGACAAAATGCAAATTTTTTATTTTTGCCAAATATTTTTCCTAAGCATTAAGTTAAACTTTTTAAGAATTTCGATGCACTTTTATAGTTTATTAAGCAACAAATGTATATTGAGTAAAATATTTGAGCTGCAAAAAAAAAAAAAACAATAAGTGAAAAACATAGTAGTGAGTCTCAAAACATTGTTAAATGGAGTTCGATACTCAAGAATCTCAACGAAAGTCTCACCTTAATTTTCAAAACTTCACAGTGAGGCGAAGGTGAAAATAAATAGATTGAACGGTGATTTATGTATGAATTTGTAAAACTAACTAAACAACCATGAGTCTTAATCCACTTTTTTTTTTTTTAATTTTATTTTTTATAAAATGCAGAATTTTTATTTTCTTGAAATATTTTTCGTGGGCATTAAGGAAATCTTTATAATGTATTTGAAAGCAGATTTACGATTTATTGAGCAACAAGTATATATTTTGTACAAGAAGTCATTTGATACCCATTTCATTTTCAGATTTTGGTTTTTAATTCACTTTTTTGAAATTTGAAAAATAAAAAATGAGAACCAATAAATAAAAACTCATGGCCAAATTTTGAAATCTCAAGACATCATTTTTTTTTTTTTTAACTGAAACTAGCTTACCAAACAAAATTTAATTTTTTTTTTTTTAATTTCAATAAGTGAATAAAAACAAAACAATATGATTATCAAATGACCTCCTAAAATCTACAATGTTGCTCATCCAACTGATGTAATACACTCTACTTTTGATTTGATCGAAAGAGTTTTACCAATTTCAACAAAATTAACTTTTAAATTTTATCGAATTGGATACTTTTGCTCTATAGCATATAAAGTTGGTAATGCCTATATTGACCATAGGATTATCCTTTTTCTGTTATTTTATTTCCAATTTTTATTTTCTTAAAGGTCTATTAGATACCAACAATCCAACATCCTAGTGGATAGAGTGACAGATTTTCATCCATGCAAATTCTGAGTTCGAAACATCCTCTCCCTTAAATTATTGTAATAGGTTCGAACTCTCTTCCCTCACCCTACTAATAGTAAATTTATAGAAAATGGAAAATACCAATCATCCAGTGGCATGCAAGGTAAAGCCTTGGCATTGACATCCGGCAAAACAGTCACCAGACAGCAAAACGACGGCGAATAATAAACACAAACTGTGAAATCAACTGCGAGCTTGTACATTTTTTACTCAAAAAAATAAAAAAAAAATCGATTAAGAACAAAAGGTCCTACAGAAAACCTTAAACAACATGCATGCGCCGCGAGTTAAAGATAAAAATGTTAAGACGCCAAGGATCGTTGGCTGATTAACTCATTACAATTTACAAGTCTTAAAAATATATGAATGTACAGGCGATGCCATTGATAGGCTCGATTACCTTTTCGTGGTTACATTTGTACAATCAATTAACAATACAAATTTGATGAAAGGCAAGCATATCCAGAAGCAAAAATTGTAATGAAAGAACTAAATTATTTACCAGAAACAGATGCGTGGTAAAATCACTGATTGATCGAACCTCAACGGCCAAAACATAGTGCATGAGCAACAACTGTGTATTCCAATCCAGCAATGTCTCACTTCCAAAATGATTTGAATTTAGTCCAGTTGGAGGATCGTAAGACAATGGCTGCTCGCTTCGATGATATTTCCAACACCGTTTTCTAGCTCCACAAAGACAATCTGCCAAGAAGCACATAAATGTAAATAGATTATATTGCCAATTTCCGCCATTGAACTTGTTAACAACTTGAGCATCCATTCATGAAAAACTTCCTAGCACTAATGTGTGAATTTCGAGTTACAGGGAGGCTTAGGGTTTACTAGCACCCATTACACCAATGAGTGAGCTTGTCAGTATAAGGTGGGTTAGGGTTTACTTGAGTGTTATAGGGTGAAGAAAACGTATGCCTATAGGGTCTAGGTATTGGTGAGGTGTATGAAGAGAGTGAAGATGTGTTTTCCTCTTCGATAACCTTTGTCATAACTTCTCATTTGTTTTATGAAGGAACAAATTTGATGGTAACACGAAAAAGCCAACAAAAAAAAAACTTTACCTTGATGGAAAGAAGGAAGCTCTATGCTCCATTGGAGGGTTGTGTCTCAGTTAGCTCTGAACTCAGCATATGGTGAAGAAGAACATCAATTCTCTGGCTCCGAGTTTTGGAGCTGCACAAAACTCAAGATATGAGTTTCGACTATCTATAACACTATAAAAATAGGCTTATGTACCAACTTGACGCATCCACAAATTTCTTGAAATACGTACCCCAAGGGTCGACGTCGATCTTTTACTCCTTCCTCTTCCTAAATAAATAAAACAGGATACAACTTAATCATTCAGGAGCACTGAATCGTTAGTGGTTACATGCCAATTATATATGACCCATGATAATAGGACTAAAAAAGCAAAAGGATATCGATGGAGAAAGGTAAACTTTAAGTTTCTAAACCATTTTTCATCCTAAAAATTCAGGGTTGGCATGAGATAAAGTGTTTTAATGCTCAGAATACATTAGCGAAAAACTCCGTACAAAAACCAAATTATGTAAAAAACTACTTTTGCTGGTACTTTATAGAGAGCATAAAAGTTTTTTTGGATCAAAACAAAGTAACCAGCTTTCAAATCATCCATTTCATGCATGAACAATATTGGGAAACATCGACATTTTAAGCAACATAGTGGTGGTATTAATTGGTTTTTATTTGAAAATGTAAATTCGATAGAAGTTTACACAAGGAGTCCCAACGGCAGGAATTAAGGGAAACCAGGAATCATATGAATAATAACAACCCCAACCGCCACAACATTTTTAAAGTACTGACCTTCCCATTTTCTTCACTTTCTTCTGATAACTCAAGATCCATTTCAGCAAAGAAAGCCTCCAGGACAAAAGCCACGACCTGAAATTACATGGAAACAAAACACGAAAACTCAAACTTCCTACTTTAAATTCTGTAATTTCTTTAGGGAAACTGAGAGATGCATGACGATACACAAAAGACCCATGCTAAGCACAATGCAGTGTCTCAGACCACTTCATTCAATCATCCAATTAAAGTTTCGTACAAACGCCAAGATCGCATCATTGATTTGTAGAAACTCCAAAGATCACATATTTCTTGACTAACATAGAACATTTATGAATCTATTCATAATTAAATAAAAAACTTAACACTTCTAACATTATTATACATATACAAAGTTCTTATGTAATGAAAATGAATGTAGCTGGAAAAACTAGTACCCCTAAAACATAATGTTGTCGGATATGCACCTTAGTTTCAAATCCTTTAGTTATAATCCAGAAAAGAAACATACTGAAAAAGAACTTGATATTTCCCTTTGCTTACTGATTGGGTTTATATTATATAGGACTAATCCATGGTTTGAGTTTATCACAAACAATTTTTTTTATTTTTTATGAGGGCCTTATGTGGGCTTCAATTTACAGTCCTCTACTTTTCCAAGTGCATGGAAATTAGCTGGTCTAAAAACCCAGCTCAGTTAAATTTTGGGTTGAGTCAGGTGATAGCAACCTGTTCCCCTAATCATCATAGAAAATAACTGACTATGATTGTTGTGTTCTTCAAATAAGTGGGTGCGTGTAACAGAGTATTGTGCATCTACAACACATGAAACAAAAAACAGATGAAACAATGAAGTGCCACTTTGGTAGCTTACCAAATTCAATAGCAGCAAGATGGTTATAAGATAAAAGCTGACAAAATATATAATGCTCCACCAAGTTCCTGTTAATTCCTGATAACTCTGAAATGGTAAAACATATGATTAGGGTCATAATAGTAATTATCTCATCTATAATTTGGTTAAAATATGATACAAAATTGATTTAATTTTTAAGATGCTCCTAAAGCATATGGTTCAACAAAAAACTTCATCAACAATATGTACTTTGAAAATGGTTATTAATATTATTGCTTAAAAAGTGCTATTGATTCCTTACAGAGCAGAATGTATAATAACAAATGTATGCTAAAATTATATGAAAGTCAAAAACCTTGAGAAGTGTATAACCGATGAATGAGCAATAACCGAACAGGATCTGGTGTATCATAAGGGAATGAGGTATTCATCGGTTCGGGCGTATAACCGATACATGTCAAATTTATTTAACTAACAATGTAATTTTTCGTAGGCTATTACTTTATGCATTCCTAAAACTAGAAAGTCTGAAAAACACTGCCAAACATGTGAACAAGTTGATCTACCCTAACTGAGCTATATCCATTGTGATACATATTTTATCATGTAGATAATTTCTTTTCAAGATGAATATTACACGATCCAACATTATATCTCTTTGATATGTTTGATAGGTCCCATTGGTCTCTCTTTGTGATACATATTTTATCATATGCAATATTACTAAAAAGAAAAGAGAAAGCTGAGACAATTTTACGTACCTCCATCCACACTTGCCAGTTTCCCATGACTAGCAAATTGAAAAGTGTTACCATCCCATTGGGGTAGTCATTGAAGTTGAAAAGTAAGTAACTGATTTTGTCAAGAAATTCAATGAATCGACATTTAACAAGCAATTTTCCCCAGAGTTCTACAGTATCTATGCCACCTTTTATCAATATTCTACTTAAGGGCTGCTAAAGAAGATAAGAGCCATCCTGTTCGATATTCTATTAAATATCTCAGGTTTTATGTCAACAGTTCCATTAATGACAAGGGATACTCATTCTCATAAAGCTCAGATCCTTCCAAAGAGGTATTTCCATCATTCACCATTCCACCGAATATCTACAAATTAAAAAGGAAAGAAGTTCTTAGAAACAGATATAACATTAGCTAACAGATTGAAAGTTAATATAATTTCAGAAAAGTAAGTATATCATCAATGGGTTTGGAAGATGTCACGCGATATAATTTCTAATGCATTCATTAACCAGTGCTGCCTCAGAAAGGTGTCCCTCTAATAAGCATGGGCTAAAGTGAACTACTGAACAAATACAAAGCTAGGACTAAAGTATAGAAAGTGCACTATGATATTAAACAAAGGACTTTCAAAAAGACAGCTTGAAGGGTGTCTATTAAAAGTTCTCTCAAATGTATTGCATCTAGACATTTTCAAGTCCCTCCATCTAATTTTTTTAGTGCATACCTAAAAAAGTTAGCCTAACTTCCATGGAATTTAATAGTCCCTCGTCCAAACGCACCAAGGATTTGGCCGAGTCAAGAGTATTAACTAATAAGCACATAGGTTTCTCTTCTTTTTTCCAGATTTGTTCTTTGCTCTTTTGGGATTGGCAATTTGTATTCTCCCTTCGGTTTTAATTTAATTTTTGTTATATTTGTTCTGGACGCTTCATCACAATACAAGACACCATTAGCGCCTATTTGGAATTGTGATATATGAAGCATATTTGTTCATGGTACACATACTATACAATTAAAAAGAAAAATTACTTATACAGTCATACTTTTTAGTTTTTGTACAACCAAAAGAACAACGGTGTAACTGGAAATCTGGAGTGCCTTAGATTAATGTTGTGGTAGTCAGTGATTTCATTCATTGACTTTTGGTGTCTACTTTAAAATCTTAGAGTTTGGCCAGAGGACACCTTGTTTTCTGTTTTTGTTCACCTTTTTATTTTAACAAAAGTCTTTTCATCAACAAAGTTTCAAACGCAAGTTTAGAGAACACTGTATTACCTGTACACCAAGTATACAATAGATACACAAGACACAGAATATGGTTCCAAGGTATGGCATCAAACTCGGTATGAGGGCTAAGAAGGTAGCAACAAATGCCCGGTAGCGCTGGATATGCATCAGGAGCCTAATCAATCTTAACATTCTTGCAATGAGAAGGTAGCGAATCCTGATAACAAGAAAACGAGAAATTCATTGAAAAGCATTAGGACCGGTACATTGAGGAAATATAAGAAAGCTAATAGCATGGAGTATAAGAATTTCATCCCTACCATTCTCCATTTGAAAGAAAAGTTAGTCCTTCAGGAGCCACAAAAGTTATAGTTTCCCCAATAACTGCAAAAGTAATAACCACTTGTCGCTGAAATACAATACAATCTAATAATGTTAAGAAAGATACATATAAAATCCAAATTCAATTACAACTAGATATCGCATACCAAACATAGCCTCAAGTGAATCGCACTAATAGGTAAGTGATCTATTGGTCATCAACTAATCAATCCTACAATTAAGTGACTCACACTAATCATGACAACAGTGAGGCATATGCAAAATAATTTGCATGGGAAACCGAGTCGAATTGTATATTGACCAATACTTAGAACTTAGAAGAGCTTTATATGATTGGAATTATTTTTAATAACAAATATCATTATAAAACATTATAGAACAATTTCTTTGAAAACATTGTGATGATAAGGACAGAAGTTTAATATTAGATCAGAAGAAACAGGGATGTGGCTGTCCCGTACTGGTTACCTATTATCCATGTCACCACAAAATCAAAGCGATTTTGGCCATCCCTCCAATAGTTCTCAAATCCAAAAGAATAGACTTTCAGAGCCATTTCCAGTACATATACCCACCCTGTGGGGCACAAAGCAAACCATTTGAACAAGTTAAAGCTGAGGTCCTCAAAAATAGCTCTCAATAACTGACTTCACCCATTGGCCTAGTGAAGAACCAAAAGAAAATGCACATGATCGTCAAAAATTACAAGATAATTTATACATTCTGTAGATTTGCCACAGAAACTGGAAATTGAAGTACTTTATTGGTTGAAAAACATGAATTTGCTAAACTTTGGATGCAAATGACCTCGAGCCACAAGTTCTAGAACATCCTACAATTTAGCTGGCTATAAATATCTTCCAAACCAGAAGTAAATTTTGTGTGGCAACTATATGGATCATTATTCAACTCCTATTCCAATAAAGACAGTACCAGAAGAATTATTGTTGTTGCAAGCCCTTACCAAAAACAAACTCCGCCACTTGCCATACCTCTTGAGCAGTACTGTTTTCTATATCAAGCTGAACGCACAAATTCAAATTAGTATGCATCATGATAATTGACTTATATGTAATCAGAGCAATTAATAATGAGGCATCAAATGTTCAAATGATTCAAATCATGGTTAACAAGAATATGGCGTAACATTCCATTTAAACCTTTTTAGATAATGACGCATGTTGCATATCACACACAAATGTAATTAAGAGAGTTTTCTTGTATTGACAAGCATATATTATCAACGAATAAGGAACAAATGTAGGCATGTAATTTTGGTTCTCAAATATCTTTTTCAATACCAGAGAGCAACTGCACAAGCATCAATGTTTCTCTCAAGCTTCATACCAGAACCATTCATTATATTTCCCATGTATGTCGAAGCAAAGTTGATGTAAATAAAAAATAGTCAAGTCCTCCTTATATAGTGTGTAGAAGATTAATGATACTCCAATCATTATCAGAACCGATAATCTAAAGTGAAATTTGATAAGGACGTGGTATACTACAAAATTATTTAAAAGAAAAACTGAAAAGTAAAACTGAAGGAACAAATAAAAAAGTTGGAACATTTAAAAAAGGTTCTCCAACCACATTTAGATTGGGGGAGATGGGGGTTCCACCATCCCCTGAGATGGGGCACCCAAATGTCGACCAAGAGTATTGCCGTGAGCTCCTTCCATCTTATATTTCCAGGTACAAAGCGGATGTGAGACTCAACATATGAGCATAAGATATTAAACTTGGGCCATGACAATGTCCCTTGAGATGGAGGCCTTGAACCCCTTGATAGGAGGCCTTGTGCCCCCTAAAGAAGAGTGGCTCCGAAGGGGTGGCCAGTTTTTATATGACGCAATAACAACTCCAGAACAAGAAGTTAGCAGATTCGTATTAAGTATGATCGTGTCCCTTAAACCCGTAAACAGTCTGTGTATTGGGTTAACCACAACTTGAATACAACACAAATGGGCGCAAACAGTAATCATGTGGCGTTAGCACTAAAGGTAGATGACCGTGTTGCGTTGATACAATTATAACCTAGTCTATTATAACTTGACAATTTAAAATTTCAAGTTAAATTTATTATAGTACACATGCAAGTGTGTGTAAACAAACTATGATTTCTGTAAAGCACTAGTGCAAGTTATGTTGAATTTCAAGCCATACCGTTGTTTCTACAATAACGGTAGCCAGGTTGAGTATGAGTATGAAGGATATTATGTATCCAAATATGGGACTCCGTATGAAGGCCTTCAACTTTTCGGAGAACAATGAATGGTAGAATGTAGGGAACTTTTCAAGCAGAGAGGGCTGCACCCAAAATTTAAAGCATCAAAAGTGCAGTATAAGAGCAGTTCACCATCATATAAAATAATAACAAGCAATTTTCTCGTGCTTTGGATCCGAATAAATTCAACTTACAGTATCCTCCTTCGGGAATTTTAGGGCAATGGCATTGCAAAGATCAAAGAATTCTTCTAAGTTGATCTACCAGTGAAACAAATAAACATCCAACAAATAAATCAGGGACGTAGAGTCCACAAATGATAATAATCACATGAAACTTCGCAAAAAATGGAGTTGCAAAACTAGCAAGACATACATGATGCTAACATGAGCTTGTATCAAAGAAGGGCAGTATAATGTAAAATAATAATAACATATCAGAAAGAGGCCATCAAAGCTATTTTAAACCAATCATATGAAAATTTCAAATTTATACTGCATAAAAGATACTGAAAATAGTCTAAATAAATGCCTACAAGCAATTTAATCTACCTTGAAGTCTCCACTGTCATCCAGCTCATCAAATATCAGCTCAAATTCCTCTCTTGTCATTTTTGGCAAAGTCCTAAAAAAATTAAAACAAAGGCATAGGTCAACATCAGCAAGATCAATAAAAAGGGCGACCCCAAGCTAACGAGGCTCCGCGCTTTGCAAGATCAATATAACAAAATATTAAACACACACACACACAGAATACGGTTCACTCATGGAAACATTTGCAAGACAATGTATCACTGACACAGTGTAATAAGTAACTAGTTGGTATCCGAAGCAAATACAAAACAGGCACGGGACCAAACTATTGCAAACTGTTTTAACATTGTTGTGTAATGGACCTGGGTGAGCCCACAACTAAAATTGATCGGACAAGGATTTTGTAAGAGCAGCTCAAAATATGGAGAGCAGATAACTTAAAAGAAATTTGAAAAGTGCAAATGCATGTTAAAAACTCAACAAGCTATTCCCAGGCCAGAAATAAACTTCAGGCCTCGTTTGGTGTCTAGGGTTTGCTTGAATTGGATAACTCCCTAGGTTCAATGAATGTTGAATGAATAAGTGGATGTTAACTTCCATAGTTTGTCTAAGTTGAAGGTAGAAGATGGATTGTCATCAAAGAAACTCGTCCCTTCAAATCCCCAGAAAATGGTGAGACTGGGTGGGCAAATTTTTTTTCATGACTAATGGATATTCTACTTTCTGCTTGGACAAACTATGCTCCATTTCTCCATTCAACAATCATAGAATCTAGGAGTTATCCAATCCAAGCCAATCCTAGACACTGAATGACGCGTCAAAGTAATATTCTCAATCAACTACTTCTCAATGTATCTGTTCTACCTAAAGTATCCTCTTTCACATTCGACTAAAATGACCTTAAGATAAAACATGGAACATTGACAGAATATAGATGAGGTTGGACCATGGATACCTGTATTTATCTAGTTCCTCAAATAGTTGAATACACTCATCCTTATTGAGATACCCTACATTCTGTCAAGCACAAATTGATGGAACACTTAGACCACTTATAACATGGAACACATTAAAAGTAGAAGTTACGTCAAACATAAAAACCACTCAAATACAGAAAAAGCTTCCATGTAAGTGTACTGTATTTGTGATGATTATATTTTACCTTCAATTCGAAGTACAAAGTCAACTAAGTTGTCATAAATGAAATAAACACTGTTTTCTGATGGGCGAAAGAGAGAAAATCAATAACAAGGATGGCAATTGGTAGAGTTCAAGGAAAGATAACCCAAAGAATAAGGATCATCACCAATTATTAAGTTTTCATCAGCATTCTGAACAGGGATCGTCTTTCAATCCTGTTCATATTCCACCATTAATGTGAATTATTTATCATTCTGGCTCATAAATAAATTCCATAACCCACATGCAAAAGCCCTACAAGTACACAGGAGAAACACCTAAAGCTCAACAGATCTAAAACTCATAGTGGGGAAGAAGAGAATAGAAACAAGATTCATCAACTCAAAGAAAAATCAAAGGCACATTTTCTACACTGTTGAAAGATCAATAGCTGAGCGGTCATTAAGCATAGGGATGAGAAACAGAAGAATAAACGTGCAACTTACTCATATCTCCTTAGTTTCTGTAAGATCTTATCAATGAGGGGAAACAATTACTTACAGCCTTGTCTAATAAATTGAAGGCTTTCTTTAGTATAGCTTTCCTCGTCTGGTCCATCTCAGAAACTTGCTTTACAAGCTACAGAACAAATTGCATATAAACACGTATATTCATATTCTTCCTGAAAATTACAAAATATAATCACAACAAAACTGTTAAGTGTAGTAAACTCTAGGAGCAGTTAAACTAGTGGATACCAGATAAAATTAAATACAACAGTCATCCATGTGATCATTAAAAGCAGATAGTATATACAAGAACTACACCTGATTTTTGAAGCTATCGTACACAACAGCAAGAATCAAGTTAGTGACAAAGTAAACTCCCAGCAGCACGTAGAGAACAAAAAACAAGGAATACCAACGTGAAGCCCTAAATAACAAGAAAATAGAATTTCATTAAATAATAAAACCAACGGCCACATGTGAAGAATTGTTCTTATGCCAACTTTAAGAAGAATAACAATGTTCGCAAGTTAAAACAAAAGCAAAGGAAATTCCAATGCTCGTAGACATCTTAATGTGAAAATTCCATGCGAATAACCAAAAAAAATAAAAAAATTCTAAAATTCGTTCAGCATATCTTAGGTGCATTCCTTTCTCGACATGCTTTTTCTCATTTTACTCCTTTATTGTTCTGCTCATTTGTTCCCCTACACAATGATTCTTTGAATATTTCTTGCCAGTATATTTCTCTCTATCCCCAAAGATAGACATACCAGCCAAATCAACTCAAATTAAAATCCTAATGGAATCCCCAAATTATGGGGAAAACATGAAAAGTCTTTAAAATAATTAAATAATTCAGTTTACAGTAGAAAATAGGAACCTGACTTTCTGGATGAAATTATAAAACAAGAGCAAATAAAAACAAAAGCAAAAAACCAAAAGAGCTCTCTAGTCAATTTTCATGGTCAAACTTACTTGTAGGCAGGTATCCAGACATCTGGATTGTTGGATGTGGTGAATAAAACAAACATCTGATACAATGTAATACCATACGAAGTAAATACTGTTTCCCCTGCTTGGTATCTTCAAACATGACATAGGCCAACCAACTGGAAAACAGAAGAAATAAAATCCCTAGAGCCTGCAATGGAAAAAATTAATGGTGAAAACCAGACTAGGAATTTTAAATAATTTTATTCAATGAAACAGAACAAAGTGGAAGTGTGCCATCACAGAAGCCTTACAAACTGTAAAAGAAAAAAACGTAAGACTTTCCTTTTTTGATAAGGGAGAAAAATAATTGAATTAAAAAATAAAAAATAAAGATGAACAAAAGTCTAACATTAACCAACAAAAACTAGAATATACGAACAAAATCTTTCAACAAATAAAAAACCAGAAGCAACAAACTAAACATTTGAAGCACAGCTTTCATAAAACACACTAACACTCCTCCCAATCAAGAAGGATTTCACGACGGGAACGGCCCTTAAAATGTACGGACAAAGAATCCCACAAAGAAACAAAAAGTTCAATTTATCCCAATTTGACCTCCAAACCCTCCTCTTTGTCTTAAAAAGATATTCTTGTCCCATTCCATTCCTAAACCCCAAACCCCTTCAGGGTCTTCACCCATGAAAAACTAGGGAAAACCCAGATCAAACTGAACACCTCCACCAATCCTAGACAAATCTGACTAATGAACACACAGTGCAGAAATATGGTCTGCATTCTCCTTTCTTCTTCTCTAGAACATGTCAGAGACATTTAGAGTTTTCCAAAATCAACCAGCCAAGAGAATTAACACCTAAGCTGCCACACCAGCCATCCAAATTATCTTGAATGGCTCAAAGGAGGGATCCAGTTGATCTGTTACCAACTGAAGGAGAAGGATGAGCTGACCATGATCTTTGGTCAACTAGACACAAGCCCAGGGAGACATGAATTATAAGAATCTCAATACAAGGTGGGAAAAAATATTGGTTCCCAAAATGTGACTCTCCTCCCATTATCAACCACAATAAGATTTAAGAAGGGCAAAATAGAATAAATAAAGCTATCAGGTAAGACAATCACAAACTAACAAAAGGATAAAATACCCTACTGATACAAATAAGTGCTCAAAAATAGATAGTTAACAAACCAAGATGTTCAAGTACGTTCCAAGCATTCCAGCCAGGATGAGCATGCATGACCGCAATTCCCTATTAGTAAAGGTAAAATGGAACCAAACAAGCTCAAGTTATTATGGGAAAAAGAATAACATAGTACATGCATCAAAAGATAATAATACATAACGAGGTTTGCTTCCACAAATTATTATATCCATATGGCATCATCAATGGTCTAACAGAACCAAATGTCACTACGTTGGAATTTGTTCCTGTAAACCTCAATTAAAAACCAGTAAGTTTGTGTCTCCGCTTCTTTATTGTTTGGTGGAAGGGTAGGAAATGGAAAATGTAGATTCCCCACATAAACAAGATCAGAATATGCATATGATTATGTACAAGCAGCACTCCTCAGCATCTGTGTTTTGACTCTTTTTGTGAAGGACAAGAGTCCATATGAGGATCATATATATAAAGTTTAAGCAAAAGAACATAATAACATACAAAAATAAATGTCATTTGCATCTTATGTGGCCCTTAAAATCTTTAGTTATGCAACTTCATACGAATATCTTAAAGAAAAAAAAAAAAAAAAGGAAAATGTTAGCAATGCCACATGAACTTTTAACCCCTATGACACTTGACCACCTCAAACAAGCTTTTGTGACAAAATACCGCCCACCATCAAGACTGAGGATCTCCGTTTAAAAACAAAATGTCACGTGCACGTCACCACCATTTTGTGACTGCTTGCCACTTAAACTAATGTTTTGTGCAATACTGCACCCTGATTTTTTTTATTTTGTACAGTGTCACCTGAAACCTTACCAAATTATCCCCCAACTCTATTCAAGCAATCATATTCTAATTCTTTTTATTTTACTTTAGTTTTGGTCAAGTAATATCGGGCATTTGGAATAGCTTCTTATGGGCCATCAAAAAATAATTTTGAAAGGCCATTTAATTTCAAACCCTCAAGATATTTTTTATCAAAACTAAGAAAATAACTAAAATTGTTGTGAAAATATGGTGTGAATGCCACACACAGAAATGCATGAAGAAGCAAAGCAACATGCTGCCTAAGTGGACATTGGTGGCACCAATTAAGGGCTTTAGGTAGGATAAGTCTTAGGGAGATGAAAATAGTAAAATGGATGAGGAATTTCACTCACGCCATTTATTTCCTACCAGTGTAAGGCTTCCCTATATAAATGGCATGAGTGAAAGTCCTCAACCATTTTACTATTTCATCCCCTAAGACTTACTCCCACCCTTGGAGTAAAACTCAAATTTTAGGTTCCAAACTTACCCTAAGTTGCTCTAACCCTTGGGGCATAAATGAGGGCAAATTTAGCCTAGGATTCCCCATGGGTTAGTGGGGCTGGCCCACCATATATGTGTATTTTTTTTAGTTTTATATTTATAAATTCATTGAAACCAACGGCTAAGATCTAATATGATCAAATCCAATGGTAAAAAAAAAAAAAAAAATTAACGGTCCAAATTTAAATCCAACGGCTAAAGTAATTAAAAAAAAATATTAGTTTATGTGTTTCATATTCTTTCATAGTGTTCCATGAGTTTCATGTTGTTCGTTTAATGATTTTTCAATATTTAGCGGAATCTAAATATTTTTAGGTTAAAATGTTCAAAAAATTAAATTAGGATAGTCTACATAATTTTTAGTTTTAAAAAAAAAAAAGTTACTTTGAGAAAAAAATTATCCTAAATTCATTCTTAAGTAATCTCGGGCTAAAAATTTAACCCACAAGGGTTGGAGGAGAAAAATTGTTTATAGGTTAAATATTTTAGATTTTAACCCAAGGGTTGGAGATGGTCTAAGACTTACCCGAGCTAAATCTTTTAATTGCTGTCCCCAAAGTCCACTTGGGCTGCATGTTGCTTTGCTTCTTCATGCAATCTTATGTGTGGCATCCACACCATATTTCACAACAAAAATGAGTTCACAAATTTTTCCCACCAAAAGCTTGAATAAGATTGAAAAGGTAGTTTGGAAGCAAAAGAAAAGTTTCAGGTGCCACAATAAGAAGTTCATGTGGAAAACCATCAAAAAAAAGAAAGTTAAGGTGGCAATTTGTCACATGATTCACACATGACAATCTATTAATGGAAAACCTAATGGTCTTCAAGATAGGTGGCGTCTTGTAACAAAAGTTTAGTTCAGGTGGTAAACGTCGCAAAAGAAAGTCTAAGCGGTCAAGTGTCACGTGAATTGGATTTTAAACACAATACCTGAAATTCAATATGAAAAAGATAACTCTGATGTATGGTGCAATCCTGAAAGGAAGGGAATCAAAGGCCACCGAAGACACATAGAGAGCATAAACCAGCATATCAGCAACCAAAATCAGTAGGCATGTGACCTAAAAGATACAAAATAAAAAAAAATAATAATAATAATAATTACTAGAAAGAAAACAAGAACAGCATTCAGCGTTCATAGTCGGTGGACAAATCAAATATTAATTTCAACATTGATTTTAATCATCTTCTACAAAAAATGCTTTTTTTTCCTAAGCTGTTTATAATGCTCAAGATATCAATAGTTACGTAAGTCCAAATGCACAGAAATATTATAGTCTACACATCCCTTTGGCTGATATTAATTGAAGCAGAAATGTTGACTAAAGATCAGACAAGAAATCTCATGTAATTAATATAGTTGATTCTAAAGAGTAAATGCAAACTGTTGACAGTAGATTCATAGCAGTCATCATAGGGATTCGACGTGAAAAAGGGAGTGCCGGCTGTCGACTACCTGATTCATAGCAGTCATATTTGACGTATTGTATTTGGTTCCATACTTGATCTATATTGTTTGTATTGCTATATATATCCTCCAACTTCAAGAACAACATAATCAAGAGGAATTACTCTGATTTAAACTCATCTAGAAAGGATGAACTGCTATCATTTTTAGCAGTTCGCCTTCTGTTTTACTACTGCAGCACCAGAAAGGAACTAAAGCCCAACTCAACTCCTCAAGGATTTTCTGGTGGAAGGTTATTTGCTTAGTTTTCCTTAGTTAGAAGATAACTGATTTCCATCCGTACAGATTTTGAATATCAAATATGAAAGGCATGTCGAAGATTCTGTACGTGATAAAACATAAAGAAATACTCTCTTCTGATTTTCATGTAAATTCCTGTATGGATTATATTGGAACCCCTATGAAGCGTCAAGCAGTCATCAGGAGAAGCAATAAAATTTCCAGACAGCCTAAGGCCAGAAATGCTTAATGGTTGAAATTATACTGGAGAAACAATGATGCTTAAACGGCTGATTCCAATATAATAAGGACTGCATAACAGTTACATCTGCAGGGTTGAAGGTAGCACCAACTATAGCCAGATTTGATCACCCCCTCCCCCAAGAAACAAAAAATAAGTCATGTAGATTATTTGGATCTCTGCAACAACAAATCTACTGCGCTTTGATTCACAAAAAGAGTGCTAGAAGACCAAGATGAATATGATTTATTAATACTACGGATGAAGGGTAAGGAAGAGAACCTTTCATATTACAGCCAATGATAAGGCCTAAACAAAGTACTTACCTTAAATATGGTAAGAGGATTTTTCCAATAGAGGAACCCTCATATGAAATTGGAAAGAAAATGTGCACTATGAGTACAATGAGTGTTATTCCCTGCACAGAAAAGGGTAAATTTAAACTTCTAAAAAGAAAAATAGCTGTCTAATGCATTAACAACAGAAATAGGCCAAAAAAAGTGAAATCTCAAAAATGTATCGTATAAGCTCAAGTAAACACCACAAATCTTCTAACATCATCCTGTAACAACAATAACACAATACCACTATGTGTGTATGTGAGCATCTCTATTGATAATTTACTTGCACTATGCTTGGATAATCTGTTTAATTTACACATTACCCACGCATAGTGATTATTTACTTATTCTGATTAATTTATGAATACTTAACAAAGCAGAAGTGTGTGTATGCGTGCATAAGCACCGCATGAATGTGAGTGGTGAGCAAGTTTTTAAAGAGCTACTTAAAATTTTGGAGAACTCCGCTTTCCATAAATTAAGGAAAATTAGGTTCTCATCCCTAATTATTTTATTTCCTTGATTGAAACCTTATTCCTTTTTAATTTTTTATCAATGTCCTTTGGTTTTTATCACGCCATTAAATATTTACATGTCAGCATATTTAAATTTTATAATTAAAATTATTTAACCATTTCCAAATAGATCCATTTAGTGTTAGAAACATTACATTTGATAATATTTACATTTATTCTAAATTTTGCATCATATATTTCTATTTTTATTATTTGCACCCATTTTTAAATTGCAACCATTTTTAAAATATGTTGAAACTATTATTTGGTATTAATCTTTCCCTATTAGGTAGGTATTAGTCCTTGCATGATATTAGGAAGGATTTAATCATTTTTGTTATTAAATTTCTTAATTAATACTGAAACTTAACATTTTATCCTTCAATCAAAGTATTCAAATTAGTAAAGATTCAATCTAACCTTGACAAAAAAAAAAAAAAAAGGTTCAATCCAAAATCTCAGTCAATCAGCTCAGAAGTTAGCAGAGTACAACAATGGTACACTAGGAGCAACTAATTGAAATTGTTAAAAGAAAACATCGAAACTGCATCGGACGTAGACGATGAACTTGAACAGAATATTGAGTGTGAAACAGAAATGAGACTTAAAAAAAAACAAAAAAATACCTCATAAATAAGAGACTCCAGAGAATTCAAGTATGGAAATTGGCCAAGATAGAAGTAGTCTCTGTCACTACATGTATAGACAGTGTCGGTGTACCTATAGCACCACAGAGGTTTCTGCACAGATTTCACCAAGCACCATATAGGTAAAATTGGAAACCAAAAAATAGTCAAAATTATATTTTTGAAAAATAAAAAAATTGCAGAGACGAACCTCGAGGAAGTTGAGTACGATGAGGGCGAAATAGAGGAGGGCCCAAAGGAAGCTGAAACGAAAGTAAAGGAAGTAGTACTTAGCGGCGCTCTGAAAGTTTGATTGATCCAGTATCTGCTCTGGTAACCCAATGCCATCTTCCGCCTGCAGATTATATTGCAATTTATTTCTCTGTTTTCGCAACGAGTAAGACGAAAAATGAGGATTTAGGGAAATGAGAGAGAAGGAGAGAGGGACCAAATCGACGAGTGCAGCGGCTTTCTGATAAGGAGTGCCGGAGGTGATGGCATCGGAGCGGTGTTTGAAGCCGGGGAATGGACCGCGAGGGCGCCGAAGGCCGCTGCCTTCACCTCTGAGCAGAGGCTTCTCCATCTTCTCCGGCGATGTGACGAGCCGAAATGGAAAATGGGTTGTCCGGCGCGGTTCGAGGAGTTATTGCCGCAGTTATGAATTGCGACTTGTGACTGACTCTTGTCTGTCCGATGTTTTTTACCGCTGGAAAATAAAAGAAAAACCGAAGTTTATTCCTAACCGCAAGATCCCGAGAGAAGGATCCGGAGGTGTTTGGTTCCGTTGGATTTGATGCGGCGCGGGATATGCATAAAGTATTGTTGACGTGGAACATAACGTGGATGGAGTTTTATAGATGAATACTGATCGTGACCGCAACCAAATCTGGGATTTGGATGTCGAATTTTTTTATTTTGGTTTCATGTGGGTTAGAGTGATTGGTGGAGGACTCTAGCATAAACTACGCGATGTCGGCAGGGCCATGTTCTCATTTGGTGTCCCTTCAAATTGATCTCGACCTTCTTTAAGTATTCTAAACAAACAATCAACTTATTAAAAATGTTACCTTCGTTAAGAATCAATTAAAAGTATGTTAAAATTAAAATAAACCTAATGTTAGATTACATGTTAATTAAAATCCCTTAATGTATTCTTAATTCAAAATAATTAATGTGCATTTTATTTAAAGTTTATTATATTAACACCGTACAAATTATTGAATAAACCCCACATACTTAATACACCTCACATCTACTAGACCCCCCTGTTGTTTTATTTTCTCACCCACGTTATAATCTAATCCACCTTAAAAAGTTAAAAAATTAAAATGTTATTTTCCCACTCACTATTATTGTCGCATCCAAGTCTCGGCTCTGCCATAGCACGATATTGTCCGCCTTGGGCTTATCATTCCCTCACAATTTTGTTTCTATGAACTCACGAGTAACTTCTCAATAGGTCACACATCTTGGGATTGCTTTGGCCCAATCTCGCTTAACTTCGAAGTTACGATGGAACCCAAAGCCAGTAAATTCCCAAAAGGTTTCTTGCTATAAAGAGGAGAGCATGTACATGTAAGGCACATCACCCTTCTCCGTTGGTCGATGTGGGATCTTACAATTATTCTCAAAATAACCTTTAATTTATACAAACGCATGAAATTATAAAATTGTCTCTTAAAAAATATAAACAAATAATATATAAATGAAAACCACTAAGTTCTGCAAATTCAAATGGAAACGACAGATGCATCCAAATTCAAAAGAATTCGGCAACGAAAAATTCAAAAATACGATGGACAAATTCAAATGATCCATACACAAATTATTCTTCTACCTTTTCAATGGAAACATAATCTTCTACATCTTCCGTAGAAACGTCATCTTCCACCTCTTGAATGAAAAAGTCATCTTCTAAGTCAACTGATATTTTTTTACTTTCTTTGAATGAAAGGAGATGAAAATATGAGTTATGGTTTAAGATAGACAAATTGTCTCCCACACCCAACCTTTTTTAAAAAAAAAATTAAGCAAAACAAGATAATTAATGTCATTACCAGTCTTTTTGCAAATGGATAAATTTGTAATTAAAAAATTCATTAAAAGATAGGTGGGAAGATAAGACATTACGGTGGGAATAACATCACTCATTAAAAATTATCTTAATACACCACATATACTTCCCCAACCTTACATTTTTTACATGCATCCCATATTTTCTATACACCCCACATTTCTCAAATCTTATAAAGCTTTTAATTTGGACAAAAAATGTTGATTGAAAATTTGACAAAATATGCCGTTTGGGATTTAAAGCATATGTGGGTTGTTTTCAATTTCATCGTTAAAAGTCATTTGGTTTTAATATTTAGTGGTAATTTTAGTGTTTAATTTTTTATGTAATCTCTGTGATCCCTAAAAGATGAATACAAACATAGAAGCTTGAAAATACGCATCAAAAGCAAGATTAAATAATTATTGATGTCTTCAAAATCACTAAAAAAATAAAAAAAATATGAAGTCTTACCTCATGTAAAGCTTCCGAAACATTGATTTCGTGTTTTATTCGTCAAAAATAAATTTTCTCAATCAACATGTTTGTAGTTTCATTGATTAAGGTTTTGTTCAATAATGGAGGGTCGAAAGGGTTTTGATAGTTGAAGAAGATAAATAATACATTAAAAGTGATTTGGGGTGTATATATTTTTTATTTTTTTATTTTTTAACCTAATAAGGTCAAAATTGCCGTTACATAGTAAATAAGTCATTTAATATTAAATTTTAATGTGATGTGCATTCAATATTTTGCGGGGTGCTAATATAAAAAGAATTTATTTAATGTCTCCCATTAAATATTTAAATTTATTAATATACAATTTTTAATTTATTTTTTGACCAAAAAAGAGTTTTTTAATTTATTAATTTTATTTAACATTCTTCAAACTTGAAATACTCAATTAATGTACCTAAATGTTAGTACCAAAATGTATTATATTGTACTACTGTATTTAAATGTTAGTACCGAAATGTATGTACCGAAATATATGCACCGAAATGTATTATATTAAATTAATGTACATAAATGTGTGTACCAAAATGTATACACCGAAATGTATTATATTGAATTAATGTAACTCAATGTTTGTATCAAAATGCACGTACGGAAATGTGTGTACCTAAATGTATATACCGATATATATTATAATAAATTTAATATACCTAAATGAAAAGGACAAAATACATCGAAATATATTGTATAACAAAAGTTAATTCATCTAAATGTTTACAACAAAATATATTACAATAAATGAAATGAAAGTAAAAATAAAATTAATACATTAAAAATTAGGAAGAAAAACAGAAATAATTAAAAAATCAAAATATAATTAATAAATGAGATTATTAATGTATCAAGGGACTAAAATTAGATTTTGATCCTACTCATGGTTTTAATCTAAAAGTCATCTTTGCGAAGGATTAAAATGAAGTTTTCTATTTTTGAAATGTCATATGAACTTGTATACATTATTGCAGCAATGGTCCCTTAACTTTAACTCAATTGGAGCAATGGTCCATCAACTAAAAATCCATAACCATTGGTCCATCAACTTTAATTCAACTGGAGAAATGGTCCCTTAACTTTAATCCAATTGTAGCAAAGCTCATTCCAACATAACTCGTTTTGACAAAAATTTTGACATAGTTGACAAAAATGACCATAATGACACACTTTGATGAGTTGAGGGACCTTTATTATATAAATGGTTATTCCAACATAACTTATTTTGACAAAATTTTGATGCAATTGATGAAAAGGACTATAGCTACACGTTTTAATAAGTTGAGGGACCAATGATAATGAATTTTTAATTGAGGGACCATTGCTCCAATTTGATTAAAGTTGAGGGACCATTGCTACAATTTACTCTTTTTCAATTTGTCATATAAACTAAAAATTTAAGCAATATGTCATACCAACTTTCTGAAATCATCAATTTGTCATCTCACTCTAACTCCGTTAAGTTTTCCATTCAAAATATATCATGTGCGAGGCACATGACTTGTGTTATAGGTTATTTATGACGTTTAAGATCTTTTTACAAGTTCTTTACTTTTCTTTAGTAGAACTCTTAAATTTTATGTTTGAGAGTATTCAAGTGGATTGTTGACAATTCCATTTCCGACACCAAACCTCAACTCGTTTCTTATATTACAAAGCTCATATACAATTTGATTTCATGACATGCTAAACTGAACACCCTATAATTGTTTTGATCGAACGCAACTTAATAGAAGGAAGTGGAGTATTTTTTTATTTTTAAGTTCAACGATATATTTTATACTAGAGGAGAGGAGAGTTCGGCTAAGCCACACAATAGGCAACCTAATTTGCTATCGAATTCGTCATCCACAAGATTCAAACCTAAAACCTCTCTTACAAGTGAATAAGAATACCATCAGACCGTAGTACTAAATGGCGAAATAGGGTGTTAAAATGACATAAATAATTTTAAACACAAATCATATGCGAGACACATGACTTATTTTAGATGGAAAATTTAACGAAGTTAAGATGAGATGACAAATTGATATTTTTGGAAAGTTGGTATGACAAATTGCTTATAATTTTAGTTTAGATGGCAAATTAAAAAAAAATAAGTACAAATTCATGTGACATTTCAAAACAATTTATATTCTCAGAAACCGGTCTCCCTTTGTTCAAAACGCAACGGGTTCACGCTTGGAGCCGTTATCTTCATTTGCAAATCAGATACGTCTACAAAATTAATTTATCAAGAGTACAAAACAAGGTTCCGCAAAATGTGCCGAGTATACGTTGGAACAGACTCTCTTCGTGTAAGAATCCAGGCATTTGTCAAGCTAACATGTCAAGCAGAACCAGCCGACCGAAAACAAAAGGTCGGCTGCTAAGAGTGTCTCACCGTAACAGAAAATGGCAAACCAATTCACGTACCTCGCTTATGCAGCAACCAGCTTACCAAGCACATTTTCTCTTCTTTAAACCTTGAGAAAACCTCCATGTTGGAGAATTTGTGCACATATCAAGTCAATTTATTTTCAATGTTTTCATGCGCTTAAACATGTCTCGATGCTGAAAGAAAACATCGATAAGCGAGCACGCTGTACATCAAGATTCAAGACCAAACATTTAGAGAAAATGAAGAAAAGAGCTGCATTTCTCACAAAAGAATAAAAAATGTTGTGACCATCTGGAGAAGCTACCACAGAAAACAATACTCAATATAGACACAACGCAAAAAGTTGCACCGTCGGAGATGCGGGAGGGTAACTGCAAATAACACTAAAAGCAAAAGCTCCCCCTAACCGGAGATTGATGGTATCTATGACAAAATTTACTAATTACACAAGTAACAGGGAAGATGAAGCCAGCATCAAAGAACAAAGGGAATCCTCCGCTCCTCCGTGAACGTTAAATAAATCATACCTCCTTGAAACACACATAAGAGCCCCCAACAAGTCTAAACCATAATCCAACTCCTCAACTTGTCGAGATTTTCTACATCTCGTGCTCACATCAAAACTGCAAAAAAATAAAATGCAACCCCGTTAGTAACGTGGAACTGAAACATACAAACTCAGCAATCGCAAATAAAGGGAATATATTGGCTCACCACCCTCAAGTGACAGCGATGCTCACCATCCTATTTATCACCGTTAGATGAGTTAAAATTTCAAGATCTGTGTGGTGGGTAGACACAAATCTCTAAATTTAACTCATCAAACGCCTAACGGTGATAAATAGGGTGGTGAGCATTACTACCACTTGAGGATGGTGAGCAAAAATGCACCCCCAAATAAATAGAGTAGATCTAACTTCTATGACATTACAAATGCATCAGAACTCCATGCAACTAGGTGAAATTCCACTGGAGATCGATGTCAAAAGAGATAATGGAGACCATAAAACAGAAATATGGAGGCTTAAATCTTGTTTCGTAACTCTAAATGAGTATATGTAAACAATGGATAACAGCTCCAAATCACATACAACATATTAGACAACTTAATTAGCACATTAATTATTTATTCATTTGAACAAAATCTAATTTCACATTAGTTCAATGACAAGTACCACAAATTCTGCCAATTATTCAAAAGCAAACCAATTCACCATGACAAAACAGAAATAAATGTGTGGGTAAAATGAGATAGCAGATGCATAGACTAAAAAGAAAATATGCAAATTCCAAAAGTTGGAAACAGTTGCTGACTGTACATGCTACTCAGAAAGCATGCGATAAAAAAAAAAATCGGCGGTTGAACGTGACCTACACATAAAGACATGTTAAGAAAAATAGGATTTTGATTTATCGGGTAAACTGAACACATTTCACGTAACTAGATTGTTATGCCTGTGCCATAATAAATAAAACAACAGTAGATATTGTTTATTGCTCCACAGCATTATGTATAGCGCATGACACAATAACAGTTTTGGACAGTCATTTAGAGTAATTTAGTGAACTGGCTGGCATAAATAAAATAAAGGACATGGTAACATACTCCACAAGTTTCCCTAGAAGATCAATGATTAAAAATTTACCTTATCTGACTTGGACCTTTTTCCCGTAACAATCTGGAATATACGAAGGCCCCGGCTGAATGCTTCATTAAACAATATCCTAGTCTGCATAGACTGAAAACCAGGAAACCATGATAATACTGCCACAGGTGTCATTACAATCACCCCAAACAATATATCATACAGTCGAGCCACAGAAACAACCGCTGCCCAGAGTATAGTGCGCTGTAGACAGGGCCGAAATACTTGTGCTATCAACACCAATCCCCATCCAGTCGGAACGAATGCCAGAAGACTAGTGAAAATATCTATGAACTTGAACTCAGTGAATTCCAGCAGGGCAATCATAACAAGTAATCCAAGTTTTATGACAAGAAATTGCACCAGCCGATAGTAAATGTGATCTTTTGAGGCATATCTGTCCCGAGCATATGCTATCACCACAAAAATGCCAAAAGCCACAAACACATAGATCCAAGACAACAAGTAAACAGCAATACTGGTACTTCCAGCAGCAATACCAAGCTGGTATACAATCCCATATTGGAAAAAGAAGAAGCGCAGGTCTAAAATTATCTCTAGAAACTTTCCCCAGAGGCCAGTGGTCCTTAGATGATCTTGCTCCTCATACCACCATCTTTCCCAGCTCTGTTCAGCTTTTGCAAAGACACTGCCACGATACCAAATCCAGGTCATGAAGTCATCAAAGTCATCTACAGTCTTCAACCAATCAAAGCCAGAAGGATTGAAAACGAAGGGGGCCAATAACCATGACACGACCAGGAACCAACTCGTGATGGTCATGCCTATGTAAATAAAAGTGTCCTTAGCTACAGGACTATGCGATGCATAAACAATAAGTATCAACCCTAGTTCAATTGCTTTCACAAAATGACTACGAGCATAGAGCCTATAATTCTCTGCAAAACTCTTGTGCTGCACAACAAAGCCACGTCCAGTTGCACGATACTTTGCACCACCATGAAGAATAGTTCGCCCAAAAAAGTGGGTACGAGTTCCCATTGAGAATGTGTAGAAAACTGATGAAAGCTGGAGCTGCATCGTCAAGAAATCCCAAATAGCATGAAGGAATCCATGTTCAAGGGAATTCTCCACTATCATTGGAAGGGCAGTGAACACACCAAGTTGGATAATGAACTGCTGATTCAAGACTGTAGCAAGTGCTCTGTTAGTAGAATCATTTCCCAATATAGAACCTTCAAGACCACTAAGAGCCAGATAAAGCCGGCCCCATAGAAATGTATACACAGTAAGAACAACCACCATTGTATTAAAAAAGAATCCCACTGTAGTGTAAAAGAATGATAGCATCCGCAAGAAATCCAGCCTGTGACCCAATCTATAGACATCTCTGCTGAGAATTTGCTCCCCGTTCCCACTAGCAACCTTGGCCTCAAACATGGAAATTTGATTGAATCCAACATCCCTTCCCTTGCCGACTTGAATATATTCATGGTGTGTGACATTTCCACCCCGCAACGTGCAATTAAAGCCAGCAAAAATGTCTTCACTGATGTTAATGACCCTGGAAGCTTTACTGATGCCACCTCGAGTCAAGAACCAAAATCTGTCAAACACATCTGGATGACCATAATGCATTCTAATTTTCAAGGGGTTCGCCAACACCCGTTGCCCCAAGGTGACAAAACTTGTTTCTTGAGCTGACATAAACCAGGCAAGTGATGAGACGGAACCAGTAAAAATATGCTCTCTGACTCCCAAGATGGTAGGCTTCCGGATGCCATAATAGCGCCTGTACTCTTCCAATAGATTCCGCATTTTGAGTGCCTCCTCAAAATAATTGTCTTGGTTCATATCAATCGTCTGAACTGCGTCACCACGAGTGAAGATAATGGCATGATTTTGATTCTCTGGTTTTCCCTCTCCGAGCTTCATTGGACCAGGCAACTTTATGCGGTAGATTTCCACCTCCTTCTCTAATTTCTGATCATACTTCACAAGAACAGAATAGTACTCCTTCTCATTCCTGCGAGTTGAAACCTCATCAAGATAGGCAACTCGAAGTGCTTCGTTGGTTTTCATCAAATACAAAATTTCATCAGCATGGGGATCTTTTTTCACTTTTTGTGTTCCATATATCTGGCATGCAACCACATATGTAAATTTCATCAAAGCAGTTCCATATTCATGCCCTTTGTACAATGAGTCCACACAACTGCTTGTTCTAGTTAAACTTCGGGAAGAAGGTGACCTCTCAGAAGTCAATCTGTCCAAGCCAATGTCTTGCATAGCGGAACTAGGTTCTTGTGATCCTTCCCGAATGTCCATCTCAGATGCAGAATCCAGAAAAGCCAACATCTTCAGAGCCCGATAGTAGTACATCATTCCCCTTACGGTCCTAGTAAGTGTTTGGCCTCTGTAAGATGCCCAAAGCCTCAGTTCTCTCAACTTAGTTGACCATATTTCATCATCACTCCCCATTCCTTCTCTGCGCATCCTCTCCATAAAATTTTTCCACTCGTCAACATAAATTGTCTGTAAATAATACAGGGTAGAAACCCCATCTTCATTCTCCGTACGGAGTTGTTCTTTGTTGTACAATACTTCTTCACTGTAGTACGGGGTCAGCACACTGAACGCCATCATTTTCTCAACTTGAGGTGCATGGGGCATGTTCATAAACAAGGAGTTACTGAAGAAGGCAATTCTGCGTCTTGCCTCAAGGTTAACTGGGATATTCTGCATTGAGTCCCGAGAGGTAAGTATTGTGTGCAAGCGCCTAACCTGCCTATAGAAGAATACATTGTTAGGATCAGGCGACTCAACAGCATTTTCAAAAAGCAGCCCTGCAGCAGAACCTGGATTACGAGGAGCCAAACCATCCTCCATCAGCTGCTCAGTACTTCTTTTTTCCTTGAAAAAATCTCGAATGGCAATCTCATAAAGGGCCTGCAGAGTATTTACCACCTGGTTTGTGTCTTGCTTGGGCTTTTTAAAAAGCTCAACAAGTTTGATCAACTTGGCATGCAGCTCTGGAAGCGCCGTCGTTTTAAATGTTTTCGTGAACTTCTCAATCTCAAGAGAGTGATCAATTTCCTGAAACAAGACTGTCATAATGGAATGTTCTTCTGTGTTGCGTTTGATGATGTCAAGTAGCAAGTGCTTGATGCAAGCATAAGCTTCTATAACAGCGCAGCGCCTGTACTCATTCTTGCATACCTTATACCAGAGCCACTTATCAGGAGCATCTACTAACTCTTTGGCCTGACTAAGTGCCAGCAGCAGTTCATTGCAAAGAAGAAAACAAGGCCACCGAATAACCCTGATATTCCAAGAATTTTGTGGCAGCTCTAACAGCTCAAGCTCGCTGTCAGAAATTATATCTTCTTCCCTGAAGATCAAAATGATCTCATTCCATATCAAAGCAAACCTGGTTGCCTCAACCTGGTTGGATTCAAGCTTCTTATAAGGCCGTCCAAGCCCATACCTCAGTTTCAACCGGTGGATGGCGTCATTAAACTTACTCCTCAGAGTTCCCCTTGCATTTAACAGTTGCTCTTCTGGCATGAGATTAAACTGAATTGCACTTGCAAAGAACTGGAATCTCAGCCTCAATTGCCCGATATTTCGTATCTCGCCCAAATGTGCAAACAAGCCCACTCCTGCCCCCACAAGAGAGGAGTAAATCGAATAGAACAGCTGCAAATCCATGAGGTATATCAAAACGACTGGAAGCCACAGCAATCCCACTGCAAATTTGTTGCTGTTGCCAAAAAACTGATGCCACTCATAGTTCACATTCTTAAGTTTTATGAGTTCTTTTGACGGGCGAATCAGGGGTTTAATCTGCATGAAGTAGCTGAAAGAAAATTTCGTAGCAAGCACGAAAATCCAGAACAAAGTGTACTTTATATTGTCCACAAGTCCTTCTCTCAAGCCACGGCCAACAAAAGTCCTGCTCTGAAACCACCACGATAACATGTAAAATATCTTCCAGTTTGTGTTCTCAAGAAAATTCCGAACCCAAGGAATAATAAAGAGGACCAAAGCCAAAAGCTCTGGTAGGATGAAAACCAATGCAACCGTAAGAAAATTCACCACCCGATTATTTGCCTCGGTGGACCACCTCCCGTCCTGATTTCTCTGCGTCCATATCCTCCCATAGAACACACCAAAAATGACAATCCACAGGGCAGCAACTATGCTCTTCAACACCATCCTCACTCCGAGCCCCAAAGTCTCCCTCGAAACCAGACTATACTGCATTCCCACATCAAGCAACGACTGTAAAAACCTCAAACCAGCCCAAGTGAAAAACACAGTCAAAACCTTGACCTGCACTTCCCTCTCCTCCAACGCCTGCCACGGAAACTCCCTCTCCTCCCAAGCAACAATAATAGCCGCCTGGAGGAACATAAACAACATGATCCAGAGCTTGTCGAAGCTCCGAAACAAGTTCCAAAAGGACCTCTGCTCCACAAACCCAGTCTTCCCCACATGCCTACTCCTACTAGAAGTAACAAAAAAGTTGCTCCCAACATCAACAGGCCAACTGAGCTTGTCAAAACACCTCTTACTCCAGAAATACTCATTGATATCATCATAGTTCCTCCACACACTATGAGGGGCAGTCCCATTCCTGCTGCTCTCCACCTCGGCTCGAATCGTCTCGTAAATGGGTTTCACAACACTATTCAAGAACGCATTCTCCCCCGAAGTCGACGGCATCACGGGCTGACCCGTCTGCTCATCAATATAATCCTCCAAGATCTTGTTCAATTCCATGGCCATGTTATGAAAAATAAAGCACAAGCACTCAGGGACAAACCTCAGATTCGCCGCCTCGCCCCAGATCAGCAGGTACAGTGACACGTACAGCAGCTCCCGGCGCTGGTCGGCGGCAGCATCACGCCTCCGGTCGGAGATCCAGATATTGGACTTCTTCCCCAAATAGGAGCACCAGCTGGTGTAGTTCTTGAGCAGCTTCTTCCGGAACTTCCTCAAAACGGCACCGTCCAGTGTGTCGATGTTGTCCGGGGGAGGGTTGAGGCGCATCTGAGCGTTGGCGAGGTGGAGGACGATGTGCTCGCGCTGGTTGCGGACGTTGTCGTACTGGAAGCCGAAGAAGAGGGCGAGCCAGTCGAGGAGGTCCATGTGGGGCTGCCATTGAGCGTAAGGGGGACGGCGGAGGTTGCCAACGGCGCGTAGAGAGGCGGCGGCGGCGCGTACCTCTGGGAAACGGAGGGACGGGTGGTCGGCGAGGAGGTCGTGGACGGGGATGATGTTGTAGGGCTCCGAGTCGGGGTCGTCGGAGGAGGATTGAGTACCCCGCCGGATACTCATGGCATGGAGGATTGGAAGAAGGGGGTAGCACGGTGGATGGGTGTGTTCGGCAGTGGTATTAGGTATTAGGTTTGCTTCTTTTTTCTGGGTTCTGATGTGGGGAGAGAGGGGGGGGAGACAGCTGGGGGAGATGGATGTAACGTGCAAAACGAATTGCACAGAGTAAGAGAGGGTGTGCGGGATAAGGGCCGAAAGGGAAGTTGGGGGCGCGTTAACGTCGTTTCCTTGCCTTTTCCTTTTCTAGTCGTTGCTTTGAGCAGTTAACGTCTATTTCAAAATTTCTCGGATCTTTCCGTTTGAAATTTAATTTGAATTCGGTAAATCGTTTTTGGGCTAAGTTTGGTGTGACCGGGTGAGGGATTTTTAGGTCTAAATTCAAACGGATTTCAGGTAACATTAATAAAGAATTCTCTCAATATGCAAGAAAAGAATGATCAAAGACGAATTCGAATCATATTATTATTAACTTATTGTGAGATTAAAATTAATCTCTCTCTTTTGATGTAAATAATATTTTTTGTTCAACAAAAAAAAAAAAAAAAAAAAAAACTACTATATGAGCGTCACGAAAACATGAAATTTGCAAATTTCAATTTATACAAATTACTTTAGGCTTCTTTTATCTAAAATGGTTTCTTAGATTGATATAACTTCTCATTTTTGGTCCCTGAGATTTGAATCGATAAAAGTGGTCACTAAGTTTGTTCACCATCAATCATTTTAGTTCTTTCGTGAAAAATCTTCATTATCAAGGGTATTTTTGTCATTTCGATTCTTATTTAATTGAATTTTTCATAGAATGACTAAGATAATTGATGGTGGAGAAATTTAGGGGGCCACTTCTATCTCAAATCTCATGGACTAAAGTGAAGAGTTATGTCAATCTCATAAACCATTATGACTAAAAAAACCTTATTTTTACGTTGTACTACTTGTGGTGTACTTTTAATCTCTCATATTTAATACCAATTAGTATTGCAATTTAGGTAAGAGGTTTTGTGTTCATTTACATGGATGGTTGTGACATATAATATTTGCATTTAGTTAGATACCTAGTTATGGTCACTCCATATGTATAGCTCAATTTTTATCCTTTTGTGTAAAATATCGTTGTATAAAAAATCTCTCACTTCTATCATTTTAGAGTATGACTTCAATATTGCATATCAATCAATGCTATGTGTGTTTTAGCCAGTTAGATTTTATTTCCACAACTTTTTAAATCTTCTCATTTTCAATTTCAATCATTCGTTCTAATATCATTCAATACTACGCAGTACTAAAAAATTTCCAACATATTTTGTGATCAATCTATTACTAATTTAGATTACTCACCCAATCAAATTGATGACCCCGCAACCCACTTTGGAACTTTCCATACAAAAGAAAATCCAAAGTATGTATAACTACATAGAGAACCGAGAACAAAAAAAAGGACTTTTCCCAACCAATTTAGACGTAAACTCTTAAATAATTTTGTAATCGGTCTCACAATTAAAATTAATTAACTTTTTAATATAAATAGTTTGTGAAATTAACATAATTTATTACTTTAATTCCTAAAATTTGAAATGCATTAATAAATTGGATCGCCTTTTCTTTTCAGAGAAACACACGAGGAAATTCGACGTTATGGACTTTCGATTTCCGATGGTTGAATCTAGTACAAGAAGAGAACGCTTAGACAAGAAGGTTTTATTTATATTTTTGGGTCAAGGGAAAGAATGGAAACCTTCTCTGTGCCCAGATAAGAAAATGTTATTTTCCTTCTTTTCAGGCAGCCTCCCACTCGCAGGAAACGCGGCCGTTTTGGAATATTTTATGCGCGTCGTCGCTGTGGTAGGCGAGCGGCCCAACGCCAAGCGCCAGCGCCAACGTCTACATCAGATCTACATCTACATAATCCAATATTAATTTCGTTTTTATATTATCTTTTTCTCAAGGTCAAACGCGTGTCTTACTTTATAAGAAAAAGAAATTTCAATTGAAGGGTTTGTCGGGATATTTTTCACCTTTGGGTTTTTGTTGCTTTTAAGAAAACTTTTTTGTTGTGTGTTTAGTTGGAATTAGATTCTAAAGTGTTCTGTGTGCATGATTAACGGTGCAATGCTACTTAACGCTATGTTACAAAAGCAATTGAGATCGGTACAAGTTCTCTTTGCTCCTCATGATGGGCGAGGTTTTTTTTGTTTCGAGGTAAGGTGATTTTTATAGATAGGATTGTTTTAACTTTGAGCCAGAATGATTGTTTAATACTTTGGCTATTGATGTAAACGTTTGTATCTAAATTTAATAAAATTTAACGTCATTTGAAAAAAAGGTCACTACTGAAGGAACAACATGACTCCATTTTTAGCAATATCATAATCAAGGAAGAGGCGTTATATATTTTCAATGTAATTGTTACATATAGAACACATAGTGTCAGTTTGGGGGAAAATAATTACTCAATCTTTATTTGGTCTGAAGCCTTTCTCTAAAACAAAGCCAACCAAAGAAACATTATGATTCCAAAATTTGTTTAAATCCCTTTGCTTTTTGAGGAATATTAAGATTCTAAAGTTCGTTTGATGCTTTTGCTTTTAGGGTGAGCTTGATCATTATTGGTCTCAATTTCACGTTGCAGATTTTACAAAAAGAAGGAACCGTTAGGACTAGGTCCCCACATAAACTCATAAATCCAGTTTTTAATTTTGATACATAGGCATTTTAGTTAAAATGGTCTTTGAGATTGGTTCCTCACTTTAGTGATTTAGTTCTTAAATTTGAAATTCATAGAAGTTGTCACTGAATTTGTCCACCGTTAATTATTTTGGTTATTTTGGAAAAAAAATCTCTCTTCAATAAGGATCAAAATAAAAAATAAAAAAAAACAACCTTCAATTTAATAAACAATGGGAAAAAATGATTTAACAAAAGGTATTTTTATCATTTTTCTTTATTTAACAGAGATTTTTTTATAGAGTGACCAAAATGATTGATGGTGGACAAAATTATGGACCACTTTTATTGATCATAAATTTCATAAATCAAAGTAAGGAGTTATGTGAATTTCATTAGACTATTTTGGATAAAAAAACGATATATATTGTTGTGGCCTATATTTAATTGACAGGGGGCCGGCGGCACAGAGAGAATAGAGAGCGAAATGTGTTTGTAGAGTTGTGTAAATAATGTGTTATTCCTCCTACGCAGTGTCTTTCTTTATAGCAATAAGAGATAAGAAATTCTTCTCCTCCAAGGAATACAAATCCTGATAGGGAAGAATAATTAGAATCAAATCTAATATAGGATTTACACGATCACACTTAAATAAGGAGTTTATAATATATATATACACACACACGCTGAAAACAAAACTTGAAAGCTATATTTATGAGTTTTCCTTTAAAATATAAATTGATTTTGGTTTTCATTAAAACAGTTGTCAAACAAGTTTGTATTTAAAATACAAAATATTAAGAACTGAAAATTAAAATGCTATAAAACTGCCCCAAATTAACTTCTGGATCGAGACTCATTCAATGTTTTAGAGTTGGTATAGGTCCACATTGCAAGCTCAACCGCTTCTCGAAGGCTAATTCGATTAATTGCCATTTGGATGGACGCATGCAATACCAACCCACTCAAGACTTTGTCAAATTAATGTGACATAAGAAATCTAACCTTGGTCCATTATCTTAATTTTCAATAATTTAATACAAAGAGGAAAGTAGCAACGGTCTTTTAATTTTGACACAATTGGAACAATGGTTTATTAACTAAAAATGTTTGACCACTGATCTCTTAACTCATCAAAATGTGAGTTATAGTCATTTTTATCAACTTCGTTAGAACTTTCGTCAAAATGAGTTATGTTTATAACATGTGAGCAGAATTTAAGGACAAATATCAAAAAGCAAATGAGAAAAATTGTAGCACTGTCCCTCAACTTTAACTCAATTGGAGAATTACTCCCTTAACTTTAACTCAATTGGAGCAATGGTTCCTCAATTTTAACCCAATTGTTGCAATGGTCCTTCCAACATGTCTCATTTTGACGGAATTCTAAAGGACTTGAGAAAAAGGATCATAGCTGCACGTTTTGATGAGTTAACAGACCAATGATCATGAATTTTTAGCTAAGAGACCATTGCTACAAACTTCTCTAATACAAACTGTAAAACTTAGTTCACTGGATCACAGATCTATATCAACACCTTACTTTCACTTATTAATATTTATGATAAATATCTATTTGGCCACTAATCCCAATTTATTAAGAAAAGAGGTGGACGATATCTAAAGTAGTAAAATGAATATTTCCTATAGAATCTTCTGGAGTGACCTCATACATTGAGGGAAATTCAAAATTTGGCGTTTTCAGAATTCTGCTTGCGCTTCTTACCCGTAGCCTTCCAAGGACAAAAAGAAACAACAAAAGAGAAGAAAAGAGTTTTCCATAAAAAAACAAAAAGAATAAAAAAAGAAAAAAGAAAAAAAAAGAGCAACGATATCTTCCATGTTAATTGTCGTTTTGCTACAACTTAGCTCTTGCAGATACGCATGCTTAAGGCAACAATTTCTAACCACATCAATATTATCTCAATATAATCATCTAGTGTTAGGTTTTGAATTTTATTACAACAAACCTCGGTGCTATTAGAAGTAGCATCATATACTTATATATTGTATTTTATTTTCTCAATTTCTCGATGTGAGACTCATATTCAATAAAAGATGATTAGAGACGCACTATATACTCGCTACGAAGGCATGCACACGAGGTTTAGCTTTTTCAAGTATTGAATGTTTCTGGCACCCAAAGATCGTCGTTGTACAAACACACTGCCAAAAAGTATATGTGGGCCTATAACAAGCCCAAACATTTTCGGAGGTCTGCTTTATGCTATCGGTTATGAAGGAGTACTTAGAGATCATTAGGGCTCTTGGATTGGAGGATTTTCAACTAATATGGGAGTAGGTTTGAAAATGACGTTGGATAAGGATGCTAGGGGGATACTTGTGGAATCTAACTTTGCTGTTTCAGTGTCACTCTTCATATGTATTGTGCATGATTTATCCTTGACTTCCTTGTTATATGGTTGTCATCACTTGATTTCTCAATTTGATCAATGTGTTTTGAGTCATACATGCATAGGA